ACTAAGATCTACAATGGACAGGTATATACTTCCTAGGATGAATATGACCATTATGTCAGAAGGGTACCAATAAAATTAATTTTTAAAAGTTAACTCAAAATTGTCACATATTCAGCACTAAAACATAAAGCCTTTGTGCATAGTTTTTCTGATGAAGGGGAGACTGCTGGAGAATTTGCCTTGAAGCCTTTGCTAGGTGGATAGAGATGTGTGAAAAACTGTTCAAAGAGTTGATGTCAAGATTATGGTTTTGTAGATCATGTGTCCCTAAGAAAGAAATTAAGAATTGATCAGTGGAAAAGAAATCTTTGTAGTACTCACAATTCTTTAGGGAATAGAAAAAAAAATCAAATATGTGTTTCTGTATTTAAAAATTAAAAGGTAAGCCAAAGGTTTTTTAAAATATCATCTATTTGATGAAAACTTTCATAACAACTGACAAAAAAGCAGTTGTGTTATATTAAATCATTCACATACATGTTGTGTTACTACTAAAAGTTGTGCATAAAATGTAGAAATTAAAAATAACAACTCTTGTCTATGCATGTCATAAACTTTTCTGAAACATTTAGGCCCATAAAGTGCTCTCTCCAAAGGTTTTCCATCACTTACCTTTTGTTTCCTTGAGTTACTTGGGAACAAAGAGAAATTGTAGCTATACATTTGCTATAGAAATCTTTATTTTGGATTCACTAAAACGAAAGGTAATTTTGGGTAATTAGGCAGAATCCTGTATAATTTTGACAAGTACAACTGATTTCAACAGAAAATGAAGGGCTAGTGCTGAAAAGTAAAACCCACTTCTTCCTTTGTCATATATTTCAAAACACGTGTAATCATGCAAGTTTTGCTTATAGCGATCATGGGCTATACATTTACTTTATTTCCCAGGATAAGAATTTCATTCACAAAAGATTATTTCATTGTTCAATTATTTTTGTTCTGAGAATTCCTTTAGATATGAGCCTTTTGTTGGATATGCACTTGTGAATACTTTTACTCTCTGTAGCTTGTTGATTCTCAGAACAAAGTTCTACATTTTAGTGAAATTGAATTTACCATTTTTTATGCATCCTGTTTTGGTGTCATGTCTAGCAATTCTTCACAAAGCCTTAGGCCCTGAAGATTTTTTTTCATCATTGTTGAATTTTTATTCTCAAATATATCCTCATTTTGAGATAGTTCAAAAACTTTTTAAACAGTAAAATCCTATGAGGCGCACTGCTGCACGTGTATGTTGTGTAGTGTTTGAATAAGGCTATGCATATCTATCTGCTCAACCACCACTTTTATATAAAAACGTTCAATCTTTTCTTCTATTATGATATTAGAAAACATCATGGTATTAATGTTCGCAACAGCTTGCTTGGCTGGAGCAAGGCTCCTCAAAAGACAGCACACACGCTGAATCAGACTTAATTCAGGACGGAGCTGTACAAGACCGGTCTACAGTGGCTGCCCACGGAGGAGTGTAGAAGAGAGCAACAGATCTGCCCTAACACTAACACGGAGCCCACAGCAATGTTGCGCACAAGTCTGCATCAGGAGTCCCAAGTGCCCATGACAAGAGGTGGAGGGGCTGTGCTGGGAGGTGAAACGATCCATGCTAGAAGCCAAAGAATCTGCACTGGCAGGCCGGGAGGTCATGGCTGGAAGCTGAGGAATCCGTCAGGAGAGGACCCCCCAGGCGAAGGGGACAGGAGCTCTTCCAAAGAGAACAGCCAACCCTCCTCCAAGAAAAATCAGCTACAATAGAGTTCTTCCAAGGAAAAGCAGCTGAAATCCTTTCCTCCTGTTTTCCTTTTATCCTGCTTTAACCACAGCCATCCTTAAATCAGGATTTCCAAGCCCAGAACTCAATTCAGCTGGGCGTTCCCCAACTAAGTTGATAATTAATGTATCAAACACCACAATTGTGGTATATGTAGTCATTTACTGTACAATAGCTCACCAGAATTTCTTCCTCCTTCATTAAATAACCTGTCTTACTGTGTGAAGTTAAGGTCAAAATGTTTAACCCAAGAGTGCTCAATTTCTTCAGCACTGTTTGTTGCAAACGCTAATGTCCTCTATGGGGTTACTTCTGAGCCCTTGTCTAAAATCCCTTGAGCATAATTGTGCCATTATTTCTGATCTTTGCAGCTACATAGTATATTTCAAAATCAGGTAATGACTTCTCCCATTTTATTCTTCCTGAAAAAAATTAAAACAACTCCAGTTCCTTGGTTTTTCTGTATAAATTTCAGAAGCTTGTCTTTATCTTCAAAATATCTTGCTGTAGTGTCGATACGACTTTTATCCAAACTATATGTCAACTTGAAAACAGTTGATATTGAGTATCTGAATTTACATGATCTCTTTAGTGTTTTGTGGATTTGGTATACAAACATGCTACAAGTTTTGTCAGATTTACCCCTAAGTAATCTTTTGGGGATAAACTAAATTGTGTATTTTTTATGCATGTAGTACGGGGGATACAAGGTCTACAGGACCTCACTATGTAGATCAGACTTGTAGTGATGCTCCTGTGTTCAGCCTCCCAAGTGCTGGGATTATAGGTGGTCGCCACCACATCTAGTCTCAATCGCTGTCTCTGCGGCCCTCGGGACTGGGCTGGCACAGCACGCCAGGGATCAAACCCCGGTGGCTGCGCTCTGCCTAAGCAGGAGCTTTAGTCCGCTGAGTTATCAGGTCAACCCCTAAATTGTATTTTAAATTTTAGTTTTTATAGATTTATTACTATAACTAGTGTAGAGAAGTGCAATTGAGTTTTTATGTTGACTCCTTAAGACATTGCTGGAACCAATGTCTAGGTTCGTTTGCTTGTCTCAGATATACCTTACTTCTTGCTTTCCAGTCTTCCATGTGCTTTTTACTGCCCACTGTGCTGGCTGCAAGTTCTTCTGTTAAGAATATTGTAATAGTTTTATTTTTTGTCTTTTTGAGACAGGCTCTTGCTACGTAGCTCAGGTTGGCTGTGGGCTCCCCTGGCCTTTCGGCCTCAGCCTCCCAAGTGCTGAGCTTGCAGGAGTGTGCCACAGTTGGTCCTTGCCTTACTCTGGATCTTAGGAATAAGTACTGTCTTCACTGTTAAGTACAATGTTAGTTATAGGCTTTTGGAAGATTTTTTTCTAAAGATTTTTTTAATCAAATTAAATAATTCATCTTTATTCCTAGTTTTGAGGATTTTTCTTTTTTAATGAATGGGTATATTTTGTGAAATGATTTTCATACATCAAGTTATATGATTATGTGATGTCTCTCCTTTAGCCCATGCCTATGGTGATTTACATCAATGGGTTTTTAAATACTAAATCACTCTTCTGTATTTTCTGATCAATGTCCCTCATGAATATAGATATAAAAACCCTACATGGAATTTTAGCAAATTTTATTAATTTCTCTATTGGTGGAGTCACGAATTACACACACTTCATGATTTAAAATGAATGAGCAAGCAAGCAAGCAGTCTCACACAGGTATGAGTATTCAAAACCAACATTGCCAGATGAAAGGGTGTGGACAGAGGTGGTTTTTCTAGAGGTTTTAAGGGAGAATATCCCCTTGTCTTTTCCCATCTCCAGAGGCCAACTTGATGTCTTAAACTGATACAAAACATTTGCTTTTCATGTTCATTTTGATTTTAGGGAACAGCCAGGTCCAGTGAGTAAGGTGGATGAGGACAGTGTACTGCTTTTATCTGACAGACATTGCTGTAAATGATCTGAATGGATTCATCAAGATAGCCACAAAAAGATGCCTGTGAATGATTAATTTCCAGAACTGCTTCAGAAAGTGCTGAGAATGAGGGGATCATTGTTTCAAGTGAGACTTTTTTTTTTTTTTTTTTTTTTGGCAGAGTCTACAGGGTGTTTGGGGTCTCACTACCAGATTGGACTCATAGTGATCGGCCTGTTTACAGCTTCCCAAGAGCTGGGATTACAGGTGCGCACCACCACACCCAGTCTCAATTGCCATCTCAGCACGTTCTGGGGGTGGGGCCAGTACAGCAGGCTCAGGGATGGAATCCCTAGCCCCTGCGCCAGTTTGTGAAGTGAGACATATTTTGAGGTGGATTAATGGTAATATCTATGTTACTGCAATAAAATCGTAAAATTTCAATGTTTTATTTTTGATCATATCACACGCATCCTTTGACGCATGGCCACATCCTCTGTACTAAAAGCTAGTAGCAGAGCATCTTCAGATTTTGTGAATCTAACTAACTCATCCTACCTGCCTTGTATAGGAATCCTTACGGGTACACTAGCTCCATGTGGACGATCCAAGATGATCTTCCAACTCAAGACCGTCACCATTTGCAAACAATTTGGTTAAAAAATTCACAGGTTCTGGAGAGATAAACATTTGAGGGGTCATTTTTGGCCTATCACATCTCTTCTGTGGCACTATCTTATTTGGTTTCGGTATCAGGGTACTACTGGACAACCTCATTTTTATCTTACTACCAAAATTCTGCAGTGATCTATTACATTTCATAGTCATTTTTCTTACTGTTGTGTCTGTGAGTTGATAATACTGTGAGGAGTTTTGCTCTGTTAATGTCAGTGCAGACTGTATTTCTGAACATAGGTAGAGTGTCCTGTCATCTAACTTAATAACAAAATTAAAATAGACTTCACTATACCTTAAAAGTGTGTATTGGCTATTTTCCTTTTATTTTCTTGCTTTGACATGTGCATGTGCACATATTTGAAAAATTTTATTAAGGCAGTACTTATAGCACTTGAAATGCTATCAAATTATAAGTATGTCATTATGATTGATAGTGTGCCAGGCAATGGTGCAAAGTGACGAGAACACACATGGTCTCTGCTGCAGCTACTCAACCATACTAGTGTGGTATGAAAGCAGCCATAAACAGCACACTATGCAAATGAATGAACATTACTGTGTTTTAATAAATCTTTATTGATGGATATGAAAATTTGAATCTCACATAATTCTCACATGCCACAGAACATTATTCTTTTCCATTTTTAACCATTTAATAATATAAAAAGATCCCTTAGCTTGCAGAGCCTTTAAAAACAGGCAGCAGGCCAGATTTGGCTATGGGCTATAAATTGCCAACCCCTGTCTTAATCTCATGGAATCTACGTTCTTAAGCGATGAGAAAAATAAGACAAACTGAGCAGACAGGTCAGCTAATTTCCTGTCTTGACAAAGGACACAGTACGATGGTGAGAGAATCTGTCTGTGAAGGCACGGCTAAGGATGAGCCTGAATGATGCGCCATCTGGGAGGACACTGACTGTAGAGTACTGCTGAGAGAAAAGCGAAAACAACTGTAGGTACTAGTCTGGTGAGTCAGTATGTGGTGGGAACACAGTACGGAGGTGAAATGATGTGGGGGCGTTCAGGAATTAAAATGAAAATGACAACATTTTTAAGAAAGCAACTTTATTTATCTAACCACAATATGAATTATAAAGCCTAATTGTGCTGAATTTGTACTGTAGCCCGTTGTTAATTTTTACCAATATACAAAACATTGTAAATAGGGGAATATTTTCATATTTGACAAGTCATTCAATGAAAAGCCTTTCCTGCATCATCCAGGCTTATCAATGAGAAGAGATGCAATGAGACCACAGTTTGTTTCCTGAGGCAGTCATCCCTAAGTTCGATGCTTTATTCTACACTTGTTTACAATACAGATGTATTGTTCACTGGATTCCTCTTAAAACCATTTAGAGCAGTTTTATGTAAAAAGTCTAGTTTTAAAAATAAAATTTAAAACAGTATGTCCTTAGTTTACACTTTTTTCTTTTTATATTGATTGATTTCTGTATGCTAAACTTGTTCTAGCTTCTTCCAAAGCATTGAAAAAAAATCATTTTTAAGTTTGCATTGATTTGCAGCAATATCTGTATTCAACAATCAAATGCTACACTATTTCTTTTTAAGTGGCTATGCACTTAATTACTTTCACTTGTTCAGCAATTAATTAGTTTCAGCGACTTCTTATTTTGGTATTGAACCTGACTATTGATAGTGGAAGCAAAGTCTGTGCCAAGATTGCACTGTATGTTTTCCAATCATAACACATAAAACATTTTCACATCTGAAAAAAGCTCTCCATCTCTCCACTGTAACATCATCTAATATCTTTCATAATTGTGAAATATCCCTCAAGTAGTTTCTTGCTTTCATTCATTTTCTCCAGTATTGCTTCTAGTAAAAGTGAAGCAAAAGGAAGCTGTAAGAGAAACACACAAAAAATGTTAGCAAAACTCTATTTTTTCAGATCAAAAACATCCACTAAATTATAATCATACCATTACAACTTAGCTATCTGTAACTCTACACACATAAGGTCACCCTAGCAGACTTCTTTCCAACTGATCTTGCTGGTTAGGGTGGATAATTTTGTCTTTTCTAATAAAAATGATAAAAGAGCAGAAGTAAAATGAAAAAAGATAAACGCCTTATTGAACAATTCATGGTTTACTGACCATGTTAATGATGTAATCTGCAATACAAGCAGCTAAGCCATTTATCTTCAATCAGCTGATCAATAGCAGGTTACAGCCATCTCTAGGGCACCCAGGCTCACAGAAGTGGTACTGTATGTTCATCACTCATAAAAGAATGAGCGAGAACTATCAATACACTGGTCTGTGTGAGAGCTGAACATCTCAGGAGTTGCAGGATAAAACTTCAGAGGAAAAAAATGGCAAAAGTATACTCATTGATTAAGTTGTTAAAGTTTGTTTGGTATATCAAAGTGTAATATACAGGTTTCAAAAACTGCTGAGTTTATGAAATATGAGTACATTTTAAAATTTCATAATTGACACAACTTTTCTGGTGGTTTTATTGTTCCTTCTGCTTCACTGGCTTGCTGGTAGAACTTAGCCTTGCACAACACATGCCATTTACGGGCTGTGAGCAAGTCTGAAAGTTGCTCCAATCACCTCCCACAGCCCTTTGTACATCTGTCACACATCCTCGTGGAACTCCTTTAACTCTGCTGAAAACTGGCGTACATGGAAAGCTGTGTCTTCCGCTCTGAACTTCGGTAAGGGCTCTAATACGCTTTCCCTTTACTTTTGAACCTTATGTCAGTGTCTAGAAATTATAAGACAACACTGAGAACGAGGAATTGAAAAGTTTAAGTTACTCAATTTATTCTGCCTTCCTTCCTCTTCTTTCTTTCTCACCCAGCAGCACCTCTATGCCTGTGACTTTTTTGTCTGGCTCAAGCGAGCCTGGACGTCTGTTTGGATCACTTATCTCGGTCGAGCTGGCTCTTTGTCTCTGGACCCTCAGCAGCTGACAATGGTCTCACCTTCCCTCATTCCTCATTCCCATCAGGTCACCTTTGCCCACGTGATGACTAGGATTCTCATGTAACAGAGACTCACACTGTGCCCTCACCGTCAAGACAGTGCACTAGTTTGAGCACCTTTTGTGGGCAGCTGACATCAAACTCTGAGGCCTGACAAATTCCTAATTCATTCTACCTCCCTGCAAGTTTTTTTAAAAAAGCAAGTTCTAGTTGTCTGAAAGGCAGAGCAAATACATACATACTGTTGGCATTCAGTTTACCCTAATAAGACTTGATTTTCAGAAGCCAAGAACCATGTAGTAGGGGATATATTCACATGTCCACATGCCTCTTAAGACTAGGTAGGATTTATACAGCAAAGGGAAGCTTTTGAGAGCTTTTACAGACTACTGTAACAAGCAGGAGTCCTTCCTTTTACAGATATTAAAGAAACTATCTTGGGGCTTAAAAAGATAGGCATGAATACTAATATTTACCATTAAATATGAATACTCAATTCAGGAAAAAAACCAGCTTAATTGAAATAAGAAATATTTAGCAGGCAAAACTTTTGTTATTCACTAAACTGAATGTTTGTGTCTTCCCCCAAATTTATATGAAATCTTAAATCCAAATATGCTGGGGACAATGTAGGGAGGTACTATAATTGGATTTTAAAGGTGGATCTCTCATGAATGGGCTTAATGCATTTAACGGATACAAGAATTTTTTTTCTCTGTCATGGGAGAATACAGGAAGAAGGCCATCCAATAGGGCCAGGAAGAGGACACTTGCAGATAGTGGATCTTCAAATTCCCAGTTTCCAGAACTGTGAGAAATAAATGCTTGTTGTCTAAACTGTCTTGTCTATGATATTCTCTTATAACTGTCTGAAATAATTAAAATAAGCCTTAAATAGAGAGATAAGGAAAAAAGGGCTTTGGGAAAGATCCGAAGAAGACTTGAGTTAGTCTCTTATCTTTACTAATTTAAATTTATCACCCCTAGTCTAGATGACTGGATGATTATACACACAAATTGAAAGGATTCAACAATATTTCTTGTGCTCCTAATTATATGCCAGGCAATGGAAAAAGCACCTTGTGGGGTGACTTACAGTGAGTCTGGGAAAAGATGCACTTTTCAAATGATAACAAAACTTAACTAGACACACCATCAATAGGATACTAAGCTTAGGTTCTTTCCTATATATTTTCCCTTGGCTTCAATGATAATGATTATACAGTACAAAATCACTATCACTGGTGGCGATATATTTTTACTTGTATTATTTTGTCATTTTAAGTCTGTGACCTTTTTTTATAGTTGAAGACACTGAGTTGTTATGGTTTGTGCCTAGATGTCCCTCCAAAGCCTTATGAAGTCATAGGGCTTTTTGGAGGTGTTTGAATCTAAAGTATGATTGATTCATGGGATTGACAGTACTGAGATTAAGGGTGGGTGATCAGATTAGATCAGCAATGGACTAACCCTGGTAGACTGAATACAATATGAAAGAGGCTTATCTCTGCTTTATTTTGTTTGCTGACTTCTGCTGTCATGAACTGCTGCCCTCTGCCATGTGCCACCCTGCTTTTGAGCCAGCCAGTTATGGCCTGAAACCACCACTAATGGTGAGCTAAATAAGCCCTTTTCTCTTTAACCTAGGGTCTCAGGTATTTTGTCTCAGCAATAAAAAAAGTAACCATGAGTTAAAGAGTCATAGTCACTTTCTTTGAGCTATTTCACATGATAGTATGAGAAAGGTCATAAATCCATCTTTTGACCATAAACCACTGCAAGCAAACTGCAAGGAGACAACTCAGTCAACATAAGGAGTAACTGAGTAGAATCTAAGGCATATGAAGCTGAAGTGAACTTGTTTAGCAGTTATTGAAGTTCCTATCATTTTACAAGGCAAAGCTCATTCTCAGGAGAAGTGGTTGCTTAAATATTTTACAATGTAAAGATTCTAAGTATGGTGCTTTGACTCTATTACTTTGTAGTGTTTTCTTTCATAAAACTTAATCTGCTATCTTAGGTTATAGCAAAGTCTAAGTCTATATGAAAAATGTTATTATTTGAGCATTATGGGAAAATAGAATGGGGTGGATACAGGCTGGGGTTCAGGGCAAGAGGTACGCTGTTGTTCTGTACGATCTTCTGGGTAATCCATGATGTCAGCGTCATGGCACAATTTGCTGACCTTTTGTCTTCTTTCAGTACACCAGAAGAGAAAAAGATCAGTGCCTGTGCCCTTGAGAGACTTACCCTGCAGAAGGCTAAGTCTGCCTGTACTACATGTGGCCAGTGCAATTTGGCCCTGACACTAACAAGTGCCTCCCAGTGTTTTGGAAACATGCTAAAATTACTCTCTCTAAATTAAACCAATAAAATAATCCTGGAACGGAATACTACCTGTGGCTCCTGTACGCTGCCTAGAAATCCGACCTTAAACTAAAATTTTTAAACATTATCAACAGTATAACTTTCATCACATTAACTATTTTCAAGTTTATTATTTTTTGGCATTAAATACTTTGGGCAACCACCACCCACACCTATCTCCAGGATTTTTCTTTCTTTTTTAAAAATGTATTTGGCACAGGGTCTCACTATGCAGCTTGGACTCACGGTAATCCTTCTGTTTTCAGCCTCCCTAGCACTGGGATTACAGGTATATGCCACTACGCCTGGTCTTGGTGGTTAGCTCTGTACACTCGAGGGCAGGGCTGGTGTAGCAGGTGGTGTCAGGGATCAAACCTTGGTCCCTGGGCCAGGGAGATAGCTCAGTGCCCTAAGTGCCTGCCTGGCAAGTACAAGGTCCTGAGTATGATCCTTGGTACAGCAAACAAACAAAAACTACCTTAGGGGCCGGGGAGATGGCTCAGTGGAATAAGCGCTTCACTGGCAAGCACAAGGGCCTGAGTTCAATCCCTGGTTCCACAAAAAAAAAAAAAAAGGCTGGTCCCTGCACTTGCTTAAGCAGGCACTTAGTTGGCTGAGCTATCTCTGTCCCCAAGACTTTTCAACTTTCTAAACTAAAACTCTGCCTTTAAGTTAAACAACAGCTTCCCACTCCCCTCTTCCCATCAGCCCTTGGCAACCACCTCCTTTCTATCTCAATGAATCTGACTATGTTCTACACATAAGTGGAATCATATAGTATTTTTCCATTTGAGTCAGGCTTATTTCACTTAGAATAAAGTCTTTATTATGTGAATTGTCAAGGTTCATTCATGCTACAGCTTGAATTGATACATTACATCATTCCTTGTCAGGGCATAACCAAACTTACCTAAAGGCTGGGATTTAAAATATTCCCCCAAAAGGTCCTGTATTCAGAGGGGAGGCTCTCGTAGATGACTGGGCCAGCAGGGCTCTAACTCTATCAGCAGGTTAGCCTACTCATGGATTGATAATGGCATGACTGCAAAGTGACGGACCTCAGGAGTTGGTGTAGGAGCTGGCTTCCGCCTCCTCCTTTCTGACTCTGGCTTATTTCCTGGCTGCCACAAAACCAGCACCTTTCCTCCACCACATGCTTCCAACACAGTGCTCCTGCTTTGCCACAAGCTTGAACCTAAGCAAACCAGCTGACCTTGGACTGAAATCTCTGAAACTGTGAGGCAGAATAAGTTTTTTCTCCTTTAAGTTGTTTTTCTAAGGTAAACAATATTGAAAAAAGTTGTTTTTTTAATGACAAAAATCCTACTAATGCTATGTCTATTTATATATATAAACGTTTTGTTCATCCATCCATCCATCAACTGGTATCTGGATCATTTCTATTTTTGGCTATTGTGAATAATATTGTAATGAATATTACTGTATGACTATCTCTTTCAGTCCTGGTCTTTATTTCTTTGGAGATGTACTCAGAAATATTTTTTTATAATACTGTAACAGCATGCTTACTTTTTTGAGGA